TTTCTCCTTTTCTCCGGAAGGGAGGGTGGTGGGAGGGAGTCGCCGGGGCTGAGATAACCTTGGCTGAATTCAGAGCTGCCTAACGCTCGCTGATTGGTTTGATCAGAAGAGCACCGCAGAACCCCTACCACCACCTCCAAGGACGAAGAGACTTTGGGGACCGGGGCTTCTTGGCTTTGTTACTGTTCTTAAACTCTCTTGCTTGCGTGCCTTCAACTACAAGAATGAGAACTTACCCGAATCCCCAGACATGGGTCTGTATCACGAATCATTTTCTTGGGCTCCTGAATGTATGCACTTAACCAGTGACAGCTCTGAAACCTCCCCGTTCCCAACTGCCTCTCTCTGAACAAACACCGAGGATAGTGATGTCTCGTAAAGCTCTTCTACCTGATCCTCCTCCTCATGACCTTGTGAAAGGAATTACCGTGGGTGTCTTAAAAAGCCAAAACCCGGGAAGGTAAGATGACTTGTCCAAAGTCACAGAGAAGCTAAGTGGAGACTTGGTTGGGAGCAAGTCTTCAGTTTCCAAATCCACTGCTCTTTTTAACACATCTGTGAGCTCAGGAAGCAACGGAATAAAGGAAGTAAAAAGACAAAGTGTGAGCTCCCTAAGTAGCCCCACCTCCCTTCAGTTTCAGCTCACACCAGGCTCAGGGCTTGCACTGTCTGTGCATCAGTTTACAGCTGCCTGGCTATCAGCCTTTTTTTGAACATCCCGGGTACAGTCATTTTCAGATTAGTCTCCATCAGAAAGCCAGTAGGAAAAGACTGGGAATGCCAGCACAGCAGCTCCAAGAAGAGAGACAGAATAGTCCACCTTGGTTTTTCTGCCCCTCCTTCAGGAGACGCCACCGTGGCCATCTGGTTCCCTGACTGAGACACCTCCTGAGGAAATCTGGGCTAGGGAAATGACTGGCCCAGGTGGGCAGATCCCGGGAGGGTCCAGGGAATGTGGATCTGCTTCAGATAAGCGCTCCACTGAACAGTACCAGATCTGGGTAAGATGGGCGCTTTGTAGATTTGCCCACCATCAACAGCGTTCTCTAATCAATTCCAGCACTGTGCGTCGCGGACCGGAAAGATTTCTTTCCCAATTCTTTGCAGCCTGGGGAGTAAGGAACCAGTAATTGACTCCAGCTTCCTCGAGTGTTGTGTCCTGGAGAATGAGTCAACATGCACTTTCCCAAAGAGGCTTTCTAGGCAGCCTAGGGCCATTGAAGGAGGTCCTTTGGCCCTGATCCTATTCCAGACCTCAACTCTAACCTTCAGCAAGGTGTAGGGAGGAGACCTCAGACGGGCTTCTAAGAACAATATCTTAGCAGGCACTGGGCTGATGGGAAGGGAGAGGGAAGATGAAGGACCCCGATGTCTGGGTCTTAAGACAGATTTCTGTGGCACATTTCTGGTACCCAGCTTAGTTCAATAAGGGTTTGCATGTGCCTGGAGGGAGAAAGACAGGCAAGGGTAGAGGGTGGGGCAACCCTGACACACCATCCCTTTTACCCTTGCCCCTAGGGAGTGCTGGAGACCAGAGGAAGCTCTTTAGCTTTTTAAATAAGCCACATGTTCTAGGTTTACTGGGTAAGCCTGTTAATGCACTTTCCTAGTCAGATTTTGAGTTTCTCTCCGCAGTTTAATTATGTAAATTATGGAAAGAAAATCACAAAGAAGAGTAAAGCTTAGAACGTTTGAACCAGGGTCTTAGAGATCATCCCTGTGGTCCAATCCTTTCCATTTACGGAGGAGAGAATTGAGGCCCAGTGAGCTTAATCAGCTTGCCCAAGGTCACAGAGCTGGTTAGTGAGAGACGTGGACGGAGAACAGACTCTTTTCCCACTCTGTGACTGAGGCTCCGTAAGGGCGACAGTGGGACAGATCTGTTAATGATCTAACTTGTCACTGGAGTAAAATATAAATCAGTGGCCACAAAATTTCAGCCCTTCAGCCAAACTTCATCTGTCACATCATAAAAAATAACTTGCCAAAGAGAGGTTTGAAAATCCAAACCAGATCCTTCTCCACTCCTAGAGGGAACAGTTCCATTTCCCTGCACTGGAGCCAAGTGTTTCCAGCAAAAGCCTGATCAGCTGCGTGTTAAGATTTGCTTGTCTGAACTGTCATGATAAATGAAACCTGGTAGAGTCACATCATCTCTTCTGCAGAAGTTTTGACCCCACGGATGCTGTTCTGGAGGAAGGAGGAAAAGCTCTAAGGAGCCAGGGCCCCAGAGAGCAGAGGGTTCCGCCTGAGGGTTTGGGGTCCCAGCCCACAGACGAGCCACATCCACATCTCGAGAGAAGTGCCACCACTTCAGATGCACATGCATTTGCTGCCCGGGCCTTTGAAATTTGGCGCATCTGTTAGGGGAGGATCAGCAGTCATTAACCCAAAGGCACCAATCCAGGATCTGGTTTTTCTTGAAGCGTCAGGGGTTTTCATGATTGCATAGCAACTGTGAGAACGGACAGCTCCTCCAGGGGCTTGATTCCCTAGGCCGGGACTAAACCATTTGTTTCATTCTCATAATCTGAGATTTTTGCTGATGGTTCCAAAACTGAGTTCTGAAAAAAATTTTTTAAAGTATATGTATTCCAGATAATGAGATATGTTAGAGAAGTTAGAAGGAAAAAAATCAAACCAAACTTTCTGTAATTAAAAGAGAATTTAAGAGCATATTTAGAGTTCTGAAAAATCCCACCCAAGGCCATTCTCACGTTGCTCTCCTGTGTCTCACCTCAACAGACACAGGTTACTAGAGTTTATTAGACACAGGAAGATGCTGTTTCCAGGAGGCTTCTTCCTTGCTCACCAACCAGAAGAATTGTAATTTTCAATCCAGGAGTCTTAGCCAAAACACCCTTCTCACTCATTAACTCAGCCAACTGAGTGCTTCCTGTGTTTCCACTGGAGCCTCAGAGATAATCGAGACATAGTCTCTGCCCTCTGGTCCCTTGTGGCCAAGTAGGGGAGCTATACAAGAAAATCAGTACCTCAAATACAAGGTAATAAGAGTTGTGTGTAGCATTTAGAGTCAGATTCAAATTTTAGCTCTGCCCTTTACTAGCAAGTGGCAGATCTTGGGTAAGATCCAACTCCTCTTTCCAATCTTCCTCTTTTCCCTCCTTAAGACACTGAGCTCATGG